AGTTTTCAGAAGAAATCAAAGTTAGTTATAGTCATGTGAAAAAATGCCCCAAATCACTATTGATTAGTGAAATATATATTAAAGCAATTCTGAGATACCACCTTCTCCCTATCAGAAATGACAAATGCTGAAAGGAATGAGGACAAATAGGCACACTAAAAGCTGTTGGTAAAGTTGTGTACTGGCCCAATCATTCTGGAGAACACTTTGGAACTATGTTCAAAATGCTATAAAACTGGGTCTACCCTTTGACCCACCAATAACACTACTAGGTCAGTAACCCAGAGAGATCAAAGGAAAAGGCTCTACATGTGCAACAATATTTATAGCAGCTCTTTTTTAATGACAAAGAATTGGAAATTGAAAGGATGAACATCAATAGGGAAACAGCTGAACAATTTGTGGCATATGATTGTGCTAAAGTGCTACTGTGCTATTAGAAATGATGGGGGGGGGTGACTCTAGGAAAAAAAAAAAGAAAAGAAACCATGGCAAGACCTATGTGAACTGATGCAAAGTAAAGCGAGAAGAACCTGAAGACCATTGTGCATGGTAACAGCAATGTTATAATGATGGTGAACTCTGAAAGACTTGGCTGCTCTAATCAATACAATGATCTGAGACAATTCCAAAGGACTCATGATGAAAACCTGCTATTCACCCATAGGGAGAGAACTTATGAGCTCTGAGTATAAACTGAAGTATAATTTTCTTTCTTTATTTTTTTGGTTGGGGGGTAATATGGCTAATATGAAAATATTTTGCATGATTTCCCATGTACAATTAATTAATGCCACTTTGCTTGCCTTCTCAGTGGGTGGGGGAGGGATGGGAGAGAGGGAGAGAATTTGGATCTCAAAATTTAAAAAAAGTTCAAAAATAAATAAATAATACACATTTTTTTAGAAAATGCTAATGCAGCTCATTGTTCAATTGCATAACACAAAACTAATCCCAAAGTGGCTCTTTGAGATGTCATAAGAACACTGGGATATTCTAGGTAGAGGGTCATTTTAAAGAGATCTATTGGTGACACCCAAATTCTCCCAGCATTCAGTTAGAAACCTTACATTTTTCTTTGATCACTTCTTCTCTTTCATTCCCCATAACTGATCTCTTGGGACATCCAATTATGTCTTCTTACTCTTCCATTTCTACTGCCTCTGCCTTAGTCTGGGTCTTTGCCAATTCTTACTTGAATGACTGTAAAATATACCTCCTGTGGCTTACTTTTCCTACCAAACACAAGGCCACTAAGTTTAGGGAGCTTCAATAATAACATGAGCGATAATTACAACAACAAAGTGGGAAGAAACATGTAGTTGCATTGGTAGAAGGAACTCCCACTTGAGGAAACTCCTTCTACCAATGGAGGTCAGCAACTTTTCTGCAATTTATAATCTTGGAGAACTATCCAGGATCCTGCAAAGATAGGTGAGTTATTTAGGGTATGTGTCAGAGGTAGGTCTTGAACCTAGGTCTTTACAATTTTTGAGGCCAACTCCCTATCCAATACTTCTCTCTCACTGGCTTTATATAGCACTTTAAAGACAAAAAAAAATACAACCACATTCCATACATTGTCACTTGATCCTCATAAGTGCGGCTATCCCCATTACAGATGAGAAAGCTCATCACCAGAAAGTTCAAATGCCTTGCCAAAAGTCTCATAGCCAAGTTATGTTTGCATAGGGATTTAAAACCAGGTTATCTTGAGTCTAAATTAGACCTTTGATCTACTTCACCATGCTGCCTCATTTACATAGCTTTGTAAAGTGGTCTGGATCCCCATATCTAGCCTCTCATACAGGCATTCACAATGACGACACAATTTACTCCTAAATACATAACATTTACTTAATTATAATGCAAAGAGATATATCTCAGTTACTCAATATAAGAGAAATAGAGGAAGAATTAAAATATTAAATGCACACAAATCTGGTTCTCACTCTCCCACATATACAAACAATATTCTTAGGGGAAAAGGACACAAACACAACTAGTAGGATTAGAACCAGAGACAAAGTAGATACTCATAAATTGGGAAATGGCTAAAGAAATTATGGTACACTAAGGTAATATAATATCATCATGTCAGAGGCAATAAAGATTCATGAGTAAGACAAATCACGTGCTTGGGGGCAACTTACAGCTCTACTGCAGGCCTCAATATTCTTGGAGCCTTCATGTAAAATCTATACCACAACAAACCACTCCTCTCTGCTAACTGCTGCCTGATTGGTAAATTCACTATTCAAAAAAAAATTAAACTGATGAAGCAATGACAAGCTCTCTAAACTCACAATTATCCTTCAAAGGTCAATGAGGAGGCTGTGCTACTGTAATGACAAGCTATTCCCTTAAACCAGAGAAGTGAATAAGTTCCTTAGGTAGGCTTTCTGGGCAATACAGAAAAGCCCAATTAGCTTTTCATTCATCAGGATGCTGGATTTCACAATCAGCTTCAAGCCTCTGCTAATGACGAAGCAAATTCAAAGTATATCTTTTTCCCTTACTATATCAGAGGCAGCAGAAGAGAGTGACAAACACCTGATAAAAGTTTTACTTCTCTCAAGCTGTAGATGATGGATGTCAGTCAAAAGGCCTGAGCTCTCTTCCAATCAGCTTCAGCCTTTCTCTAGCCAGTCAACAACTCCAAGCCCAGCTTGGAATAGCTGAGAACTTTTTATAAACTAACTCGCCTGCTGTATTCTTAAGTGCTTGCTACTATCTTCTCAACTCTTCTCTCTCACCATTTCTTCCACTCTGCTGGCTTCTTCAACATTCTCAGTGGCTCGGATCACAGCCTCCTTGTGCTCAGTGACTTATCACTCCTCTTTGATATAAAACTCAAGAAATTCACTCTACTTTTAACTATGACATGACTAATCCTTATTTAATCATTCTATAGTTCCCAAGCAATTGATTTGCCACTTTATGAGTGTTAAACTGTCAAACTCAAAAACCTGTGAGTTGATCATGCCCTTCTAGGGAAAAAAAAACAAACAAATTAAATTATGAAAATAAAATGACTACAATGCCCATATACTTCGACCCAGAGATTCTATTACTAGGTATATATTACAAGGAGGTCGCTGACAAAAAGAAAGGCTCTATGCATACTAAAATATTTATAATATTGCTTTGGTGATAGCAAATAACAAAATAACTTTTGTAATAGCAAAAAAACCCCAAAAGCTGCTATCGACTGGAAAATGGCTAAACCAGTTGTAGTACAGAATTTTAATGAACCCTTACTGTGCTGTAAGAAATAATGAATGTCTTGAATTCAGAGAATCATGGAAAGACTTTCAGGAACTGACGCAAAGTGAAGTGAGTAGGGCCAGGAAGACAAATGCACAATAATTGTAATGATGTAACTGAAAAGAACAATAACTATAAAATACATGAAATTGAATATTAGTAAACTTCAAAACCAAAATTAATCTTGACCTCAAAGAAAACATATGAGAAGACACTTCCCCTCAGTCCTCCACAGAGATCAGAGACAATAGGAGCAAAACTATGTCTGTCTGTCTCTCTTTATGTGTGTGTGTGTGTGTGTGTGTGTGTATAAATATATGTGTGTATATACATATGTAGAGTCAGATTTTAAAAACGTTTGGTAGATTTTGCAATTTGTCTTCCTCTTTTTAAAATTATTGGTTATAAGGGTCGGAGAAAAGGTAAAGAAGAAAATGTTAGCGATGTGAAAAAACAAAATATATCAATAAGTATTTATTTTATAACACAAGGATATGAAAATGAGCCATGATGCCCCCATGCTCTGGAAGCTCCATCATTTCTCAGTCCTCAGACAAGTCCTCCCAGCTTTCTATTCAGTCTCTTTAACAGTTTGTATCTCTCCAAAACTGTAGATAATAATCATCATTGCATGTCTATGTTTATCAGACTGTCATGCACACAAGCTCTTTTTTGTGCCTTTTCGTAACCAATCTACTTCCTCCAGATGCCTACTCTTTCTGCTACACCGTCCTTCCTCAAGTCCAAACTGTTCCATCTAACTTTTAGGACCCTCTACACTCTGGTCCCAGTTGCTCTGCCTTAACAATGTATATCTCTATGGGAAGTCCATCTGTCTATCCACTTTTATTTATTTTCTTCCTTTACTTGGAGTAGCCTCCATTACCCAATCTGGCTCAATCTGAATTTGTACCTAACCATTCTAACTTGTATTTCTCTCTCCAGATAAACTCTCTATTTTTTATATGCCCTTATTGTATCCATTTTAAAAGACAAGAAGTTTCTTGAGATTCAGGACTACTTAATGTACTGTACGCTAAGTACATAGCACCTCTCATACCCTCAATAAATACTAATGCCCCACTGGTTAGAATATAGGCCATGCTCCTATATGTGATATCTTTGAAAGGAAAAACACACATACACACACTTTTTTCTCTTTCAATGAGACACGATTTTAGGAATGTGGCCCATATTCTCTATGTTCCTTTTCTCCGCACGACAACCTTGACAGTTTGATGTTTCAGTGTATTTTACCTCAGCTCTCTCTCTCTCCCTGCTTGTCTTTCTGTCTCTTTCTTTCTTTCTCTCCATCTCTGTCTGTCTCACTTATCTATGGTTATCAATGGATTATAGGTACATATATGATGGAGAAAGTCTATATATAATGGAAGTGGGATATAGATAGATTTTGATATTTATCTCTTTACATATGTGTATATTATCTTTATATATCTATACATAGATATTATCTCTGTCTCATTTTCTAGAAATGAATCTCTATTTCTATACCTCTCTATTCCTCTCCATTACTAACAGGTTCAATGTAAACCAAGTTTTATGGGAAAACCTAATTTAAATACTGTAAGATATATCTATAGCACACTCACAAGAAACCAGGTTGGCTCTAGACATTGCATGTCATCAAAATGTTGGGGATATGAACTTATCCTGTACACAGAACTCACCCTCATTGCAAACTCTTATCTGCATTTATTGGTGAGATGCTTTACCTTCTTTATTGGAAATATGCCCGGAGCTCAGCCGCTTCTGCTGCCATGTCATCTTCTGACCTCCATGTGGCTGGGAGTCTTCTTCTACTTTATCGTGCTTCTGAAGCTTTCAGAGACAAAATGATATGATGCTACTCAATAGGATGCCACAGTTTGAGTAAACGTTCTTTTGTTAAGGGACAGTTCTACCTACAAGTTGTCACCAATCATTTTTATCCATTTTACTGACCTGGTTTGAATGCTCTTTATTCTACTCAAAAAGTCCAGAGGAATTCTTAAAAACTGTATTGAATTAGTTAGTGTGTGTGTATGTCTGTGTATGTATAAGTACATACACAGACACACACACATGCACACACACATGATTAAGAGTCAAAGGAGGGGCAGCTAGGAGTCAGGAAAATCTGGCTCAGACACACAACATTTACTAGCTGTGTGACCCTGGGCAAGTCACTTAACCCCAATTGCCTCACTAAAAAGAAAAAAAAGAGTAAAAGGAAGGGAACAGTATAGACCATAGATGATAATATAATGAATTACAGATGCAGTCTGTGTATTCTCATCTTTTCTCTACCTCCTTTAAAGTGTTCTTTCCCTCCTTCCTCTCTCTTTCCTTCCTTTTCTCCTTCCTTCCTTTCTTCTCTTCTTTCCTTTCTCCTTTTCTTCCTTCCTTCCTTCCTTCCTTCCTTCCTTCCTTCCTTCCTTCCTTCCTTCCTTCCTCCTTCCTTTTTTCATTCTTTCCTTCATCTCATACTTACATTTTTCTGGCATTTTCTCACCTCTGGATTTTTAAAAAAAAAACATAGGGTTTTCTTGCCTTTACCACATTCGCTTTTTATTACCTCTAGTTTCATTAAGAATTTTGGTTTAGTTATTTGTAATGAATGCAAAGGAGTGAATAACACAGTAGGGGAGAATAAGTACAGGTGCATAAATAGAACTTATCTCTTTCCACCCCCCACCCCACCCCAACAAGAGGCTTCAGGATGATAAACAGTAAAGAGTAATTAACAATGAATACAAATGGTGGACAAATAGACATGTCTTCATCAACTGAACTGGCTTTAAATCTTCAACCACTGATATTACACCACTATCTATTAAAAAGAGTTTGTATAGTCCTCAGTAAAATACCAATGCCTAAATAGAATATTTATATGTAAATAGCATACAAACAGAGTGCTCCCAAAGTCTTAGCTCATTTCTAACCTCTTAAAGCATAAAGACATTAAAGAAGAGAGATTCAATATGTTTAGCTTGGCCTCAGAGGGGACGATTAGGCACTTTGAGATGAGTTTCAAAGAGATGCCTTTTAGGCCTCTAACAATTAGTACTATCCCAAAGTAGGTTCCCTCTTTAATCAAATGTTGGACAACTACTGCTCAGGCATATATAAGGGATGGCTCTTTGGATGGGGAAAAGATGAAGAAAGAAATGGAGGCAATGTAAAAACAAAAAATATCAAAAAATATCTATTTTATAACCCAAGGACATGAAAATGAGCCATGGTACCACCATACCTAGAAACTCTGTCATCCCCCAGTCCTCAGACAAGTTCTCTTGTGTGTGTGTGTGTGTGTGTGTGTGTGTGTGTGTGTGTGTGTGTGTATGGGCATGTATGTGTGTATATATACATGTTATAGTAAGGATTCTTTCTCAGCAAATGGATTGAGCTACAGAGGGCAATTCCAACTATGAGGTCTCATGATTCTTAGCTCTCTAAAGGCTTTTCCAGCTCAAATATTATTACTCTATGACAACAGTTGGAACAAATCTACTCCCCAAAACAGCATTTCCCAGAAGAGATGGAGGATTGCCTAATATATTGATGTGGAAGGGACTTAATCCAATCTTCTTCATTCTATAGATGGGGCTGAGGCCTGGGGATGTCATATGACTTGTCCAAGATGACACATGTAGATAATAATATAGTCAGAATTCAAATACAGATGACCCGGTTACAAAGCCAGTGGGCTTTACACTATATCATTCCTTCCCCTTTGTTCTGTTTGGTTTGAGGTCAAATATAATGGCAGGTTCATGAATGTCTAGCTATGTCTCCAATCTTCATGTGCAGTTTTCCCCCCTTCGAATCTTCTAAAAAGCTTTTTTGTTTGTTTAATTTAAATCAGCATTTTTTTAAAATTTCCTAGCATCTATGTAACGTGCATTGTTGTCAAAAAGACAAATAATATAGGGCCCCCTCCCTTATGGAGCTTGCAATATTTTCCACTAAATAAGGGAAATACTGAGAATAATTAAATTGAATATCTTTAAATAAAAACATTCTAGGTTTAGCCCAGCCTAACATCAAGACCATGAAAGCCAATGGACATTTCCCTCCAGGTACTTAGACACAAACCTCAATACAAAAGGGAAAGTCATTTGAAGAGGGGTGACACATGGTCTTCATTTCAGCAAAGTGGCATTTCTACTCATGGTGCTTTCAAGAGTAAATGAGGATTATTAGCATATAACCAAACTGAAAATATGTTTATGAGAGTGATCTATCTTCTACTCAGAAGTTAGCTCGGAGCAAGCCAGTTCTGCATTTTACTACGAGGATTTAATTCTCTTTAGTAGATGGAAACGACATCAGGAAGTAATTTCCTTCCTTGCAAGAGGCAGATATGATGCCATTGCCCAGGGCCAGGCAAACTGGATTGCTCTTCCTCTAGTCAGAGACTAATTTCATTCTGATACTTGCTCCAGGTCAGCTGTAAATCCATCTTCTAACAATTCAATAGAATGATGAAGAACACTTCCAACCTCCAGAATATATGGCCTTCCCACTTCTGGTACTCATGTCAAAAGAGACGGAAGCCCAGAAATCAAACATTAAGTGGCTTCATGGTGATGCAGATTCTGCCAGATGAGTCCAAATAATTTAGAGCCTTGGAATGTCAGTATTTTCCTGGATATTAGGGTAACCGTCTGTTATTTTCATATGCCTGGCAGATGGTCATGTCATGCCAAGGCTTGCGAATGGTTTACAAGAGACATCGACAAAATACAAACAAACAAACAAACAAAGGGGGTGTTAGCAAAGCTGATTCATAAATCAGTTTTAATGGGGTACAGCAGAAAGAGACAAAGGCCCTGGGTTCATATTTCATTTCTGATGCTTATTGCCTGTTTGACTTTAGACAAATTATTTGGCCTATTTTTATTGCCTCGGTTTCTTCATCTATATAATGAGGCTGGACTAGATGGCTTTTGAGAACCCTTTTAGCTCAGTATCTGTGATTTAGGATCTCTTTGAACATGCTCCCACCCCCAGACAATGTGTGGTCTATCATGCAAGAGAGGGCAGAGAACATGTCTACAGTTGTGGTTATTCCTCACATTGACACAAAACTGGCACAGCTACAAAGAATCTGAATGGATAAGAATGAATGAAAGGGGAGGGAGGAAGGAGAAGCAACTTAAAACAAACCAACACTGACAGTTTATGCAATGTTTCACATCCACAATCCCTTACGTCTACAAAGAAGAGAGAGTGGTACAGCTTTTCATTTCGGATGGCTATGCTTGTTCGTAGATAACTATCTAAAGATTTTGTTTAAAAGGACCCAGTGGAAGATATAGGGGCAGCTACATGGAGCAATGGATAGAGCATCAGGCCTGGAGTCAGGAAGACTCATCTTTCTGAGTTCAAATCCAGCCTCAGAAACTTACTAGCTATGTGACCCTGGACATGTCATTTAACCCTGTTTGCCTCAGTTTCCTCATCTGTTAAATGAGCTGGAGAAGGAAGTGGCAAGGCATTCTAGGATCTTTGCCAAGAAAACCCCGAATGGGGTCACGAAGAGTCAGACACAACTGAAAATGATAAAAAAAAAAAAGAGGAAAGTATAGACTAACAATAAAAAAGTGGACTTATTTTACGAGAGCAAGAAATAATGAATAGACAATCCAAGTATTCCATTGGTATTTTTGTGATGTCAAGAGAAGTCAGGAAAGTTCTTCCTGGCATACTGGGTGTACTCTCTGTAGCCAATTTGTGGGAGGACACAGATGGGAGTTGTGTAGGATGGGTAGGCATGAATGGGCTGCCATCTATATCACCGGAAGGAATGACCATGAGATCGTTGCTCTTGATTGGATCATTGATCCAATTCCATTTCAGTATGTCATTTTCAATCCCACTGTTTATCTGAAACCGTTAACATTCCATTGCTCTCCATGAGGGGATACGTCATGGCAATCTTTCAGAAAGCCTTCACTACCTGCTGGTTTTCCCCTACCCCTTTCTGCCTTTCCATGAGGCTGACTGTTTGGGTTGGCCTCTGAGACTGCCATTCCCCAAAGTCATTCCTCAATCACCAATGCTCAGAGAAATCCTCTTAAACCACTCAAGATTCTGAGTGAGCTGGCAAGGCTTCAGCTGGATTGTGGAGTACTTTGCAGATGAGAAACAGGAGAAAAGCTATGCATATCCCTCCCCACACACCTTGTCCCCCATGGGGAACAACTATCCAGGTGCTGTGAAACTTGCATGTTATGATGTATTTGGAGAAAAGTCTAGCTTCACTAAAGACAATTCAGTGGTAAAGCACAGAAGCCAATTTTCTGTGCTAATGGAGAGGAGCAGTGAAAAGAGAAAATCTACAAACCATGAATAATCCCAAAGAATTTACATTTGCCTTTGAGATGCAGTAAGCTACAGTGGCTGAAGAAAACAAGATTCTAGATCTAGGTTCGAATCCGGACTGCCACTTAACATCTGTGTGACCTTGGACAAGTCATTTAACTTCCCTTGAACCTCAGTTGTCTCATCTATAAAGTGAGGAGGGTGGAGTAAACGATTCTTAAGTCCCCTTCCAGTTTTGGATCTATGAGTCTATGATTTCTTTGCAAGCCTGACAGGCTTAATAGAAGTTTGGCAACCATTAACAGAGCCACAGAATGTCAATTCAGAACAGGCTTTGTCTAATCATTTCATTTTACATATAGTTAACAACAATAATAATGGCTAATGTTGACATAGCATTTTGCAATTTACAAAGCGTCTTCCTAGCTCATTACATACTCACAACAACTCCATTAGGCAGGCAGTGTATACCTTATTATTTCTATTTTTACAAATGAGGAAACTGAGGCCCA